TATTTGTATTTATTAGACTTATATCCATTCTCTCATTTAGGACTTCAAGATATAATATTTCCACCTTCTGTATTTCCCCACAGCTGTTGTGGTTAGCCGGCAGCAGGTGCGGTTGGATGAGGAGAGCAAGAACTCAGATGAGGGGCCAGGACCATTAGGGAGTGGACTGCTGCCTTCAGATATTGTGGGGGCTGGCAGCAGTGATGATGAGGAGGTTTCCAAGGAGCCTGTGCCATGTGTGCACAGGATTGCTCATAGGAAAGAGCAGCTACAACAGCATGGGCAACTTGGAAGTAAGGCTGCAAGATAATGGCCCCTCTTCAAGAAGATAAAAGCCACTGTGAAACAAAAGTTCTTTGCAGAAGGCAAAGACGTTTTGAAACTCCAGCCTCGTGGACATTCCAGTATCCTGAGTTTGTATTTGAAGATTCTTGTATTGCAAATTATTTCTTGTCTGTTATCTTTTGGCAAGTCTCGGACAGTTTGGCAAGGCTTGTGCTTATCACAGCTAATTATTTTGCAGAAGCATTAAAAGGTTTCTGTTCCCTTTGGATCGTGTTTGATTTGTTGCAAAAAGGCATGGGTCAGAACAACAGCAACCAAGTTCACAGAAAGAGCGGTGGAAGCTTGGAACCAACTTGCAGCAGAGGCAGTGGGTCAATCATCAGTAACTGAGTTTAAACATGCTTGGGATAAAAGAATAACAGAGCTGGAAGGATCCTTGGAGGTCTTCTAGTCCAACTCCCTGCTCAAGCAGGAGACCCTATACTGTTACAGACAAATGACTGTCCAGTCTCTTCTTAAAAGCCTCCACTGATAGAGCACCCACAACTTCTGAAGGCAAGCTGTTCCACTGGTTAATTGTCCTACTATCAAGAAATTTCTCCTTAGTTCTAGGTTGGTTTTCTCCTTGATTAGTTTAGATCCATTGTTTTTTGTCCTGCCTTCAGGTGCTTTGGAGAAAAGGTTGACTCCCTCTTCTTTGTGGCAGCCCCTTAGATATTGGAACACTGCTATCATGTCACCCCTAGTCCTTCTTTTCACTAGGCTAGACATACCCAATTCCTGCAATTGTTCTTCATAGGTTTTAGCCTCCAGCCCCCTAATCATCTTTGTTGCTTTTCTCTACACTTTTTTTTCCAGAGTCTCAACATCTTTTTTATATTGTGGTGACCAAAACTGGATGCAGTAGTCCAAGTGTGATCTTAGCAAGACATTATATAGAGGGGCTAACACTTCACATGTTAATTGGGAGTGTTTATCCTAATTGGATAAACACATATCCATCATACGATAAAAAAAAAAAAAAGTAAAATATAAAAATAAATAAATAATAAAGTGAAAATAAAACAAAAACAAATAAAATCAAACGGCAGACTCAGTGCACCACTAGTTTTTTTTTTTTCTGTCAGTTTCCTACGTTTCTAAGGTAGCTTGAGCTGCCAGAGAAGAATTGGCTCAAAGTTACTCAGAACTGCCATAGCTGGGGCCCAAACTGCCATAGCTGAGGATGGACTAGAATTTTAGCATTCCCATTCTACACTTTAACTACTAGGGCACTCTGCCAGAGTGGGTCGAATGCATAGACCAGCACTAAATGGGGATAGTTATTAAAGTTAGAAGGGAATAATTAAACTGCACCCCCACATTTATCCACCAGGTGGGGTATCCTATTCCACAGGATTCATTCTGATTCCACAGGACTTGAGCAGCTGTTCAACTGCTTTAGCTCATCCCTGTGGCATCTTTTGCCACATAGTTCAGGAAGAGACCAGGCATCTTTGCACTAACTTTGCCTACTCCATTAAGGCACAGAAGCCAGAATATCTTTGTTAAGGAGGCATCATTGTTCCCAATCAACAAAGCTTTCTTAGACTGCATTCAATTCCCAAAAAAACAAATAATCCAAAATTAGCTGAGCCAACTGTTGCCCTTTGTCTTCTTCAATTTGTACCTGGTCTTCTTTCACTTTCAGCAAGAGATTCATGCCTTCCTCACTTCTTGCCATTCAAACAGCCTTTGAGGTATTTTAATTTCTTCTATTCCAACATTTCTCACGATATCTTCAACATTTAATTTAAATAGACGGACGCTCCAATTTTGAACCATTTGATTGCTCCATAACAATAGTGCTCTTACAAAAGCTATGGCAAAACAACCTAAAAAAATAACAAAAGATAAATTGTGTAGGTACAGAGGTCCTGTTTATTTTCAACAGAATCATCAACATGGGCAAGCAGATTGAAATCTCTCTCCCTCCCTCCCTCTCTCTAAATGCAATATATCAAAATAAACTCTAAGTATAAGGTAATACCTCCAGATAATTCAAAGATCCCTTAGATGCAAAATAATTCAACAGTTTCCTTTTTTTTTTTTTTTTTTGTAGCAACAAGCAACTGCTTTGTATACCTTTCACTGGGATTCTTTCCAGGCGAGACTTCCCTATCCGTCTTGATGAGGGAAGTTCCTTAAGGGGTGAAATCTTATCTTGCCTGCCCCCCCTTTAAATGGCAACAACTTACAAACAAAGCTCCTGTAATTGAAGTCAGTAACCACAACACTGCCTGCTCCAGAACACCCTCCCTCTCAACCTCTGACGTGATGGATCGTATTGCAGGGAATACTAGGCTGGGCTGAGAGTTGAGAAGACCACAGTGCTAAGGGGCCACAGCCACAAGGGTGGGCCTGGGCAGTGCAGTCAAGGCCAGCAAAGCCACAAGTCCATTTCCGGTCTTATGGATTTGAATATCAACGAGCCAAGATGGAAGAGGTTAGCTGTGTAACAAATGGTGTTCTCTCAGTGAGAGATTGTGCCTCCTTGCAGTCCTCACTGTAGAGACGGTGCCAGTTCTGCTGAGGCAGCCAGTTCTTGCTATCCTTCTCAATAGACAGATCGGGGCTTAAATGATGGTGGCTCACTTTAAGTTGAAGGACAGACTGTTTCAAATAAACCTAACACTGGTAATGCATCACATCACACATTAAGCATCAAGTCATGATGTATAAATCTCAATAACTGGCAAACACTAGGCCTGTGTGAGATTTGTAATGATAGAGAAGACACACTTAAAAATTTGCCAGCGTGTTTCTGCTGCTTTCTTGAAGCCGTCACACTGCGACGGCTTTTTCTTCAGGTTTCTGTGTGATCTTGAAAAAGGAAAAAAGGGGAAAAAAAGAGCTGCTGCTTTAGCAGGTTCAATTTAATGTGCCAGTATGGTCTAGTGCAGGGGTGTCAAACTCAAGGCCCGGGGGCTGGATCCGGCCTGTGGGGCGTTTAGACCTGGCTCTGGAAACAGCGAAGGACCAGCCTGTGGTGCCTCTGCCAGTGAAAACGGAGCTTGGGAGGGCTGCATGCGGCCATCTCAAGCTCTGTTGTCGCTGGCAGAGGTTTGCAGAAGGCTGTTGCAGACGAAAAGGGAACTTGGGAGCCTGTTTTCTCTGGCAGAGCGCTTGAGCCACCACAGACACTGACACAAGTGATGTTGAGATGGCCACACCCTCCACCCCCCCCCCCCGGACACAACCCTGATGCGTGCGGTCCTCAATGAAATCAAGTTTGACACCTCAGGTCTAGTGGTTGAGGCACCAGGCTAGAAGTCAGGAGACTGTGAGTTCTAATCCTGCCTTAGCCATGAAAGCCAGCTAAGTGACCTTGGGCCAGTCTCTCTCTCTCTCTCACCTCACCTCACCTCACAGGGTTGTTGTTTTGAGGAAAATAAAAGAAGGAAGGTGTGTTGGAAATGTTTGCTGCCTTGAGTTATTAATGTCAATAATCAGGCAGGAAATAAATAAATAAATAAATAAATAAATAAATAAATATGAGTTTTTAATTAGCAGATTTGTTCAACACATTACATCAGAGGTCTCCAAACTTGGCAACTTGAAGACTTGTGGACTTCAACTCCCAGAATAACTGGATGAGGAATTCTGGAAGTTGAAGTCCATAAGTCTTCAAGTTGCCAAGTTTGGGGACTCCTGCATTACATCATAAACCAGAGCTTACTACTCACAATGGTTGGTTTGCAAAATATGCTTAACTCAAATCATGACGATAGTAGCATAATGGGCACACATGGCTTAGAAAACCTTTTTTTTTTAACCTGCATTGGGCTATTTCTATGCTGTTTCCAGCTGGAATTTTGGTGCAAAGCTATCACTAAAGGCAGAGAGGTTAACTTTGGTGAAAGTTTTCATCTAATATATAAACAAGTTCTTGCACAAATAGTTAATGCCAATTTATATAGCCATTTATGCAGCAGTTTATGTACCAATTTATGTCGCAGTCATTGGAGTCCATAGGTCGGGAAATAAATGACAACATCTGCACAATGAAGTCATCACACAAATCACCACTTAAGTACCTGGATCAAATGTCAGGATGAGAGTATGCAATGGCTACATTTGCATGACAACATCATTGTGTGTGTCATCATTTCGCTGTCACTGTGGTTTGCTGCAGATGATACTGCAAATACCTTCATCTCAGACTAATGTAATTTATTCATTAATATGGTTGAATTTGTATTCCAGGTTTCTACCTGAAAAGGAAACTCAAGGAGAATGGCATGAAGAAAGTGCAGAACAAATGAATAAAATAAAAAAGATACTGTAAAACCAATTGTTAGCATGCATAATTTTTTTTTCAAAAAAATTCATTATATCATTAAGACAAAAATAAAGTCTCCTTCACGTTGAATTTAAGGGACTGCAGTGACAAATCCATGGGTTCTCTTGATTTTGGTTTTCCTGGGTTCTTTTTTCAATTTTCCAGTTTAATGTACAGCCCGGGGATTTCCAAATGATCTCCCATCCAAGCGCTAACTAAAGTTTGTGGGGAAATCAACCGAGGTGGTCTAGTTGCTAGTCTCAGACCAGGAAAGGTGACCACTATCTCGGGCAGCCGGACCTGACCGGGTGGGTATCTGTTTTGTGCGAAAACGAAAGGACGGGAGACGTTGTGTTTGTTTGTTTTTTTCGAAAGGAGCTTTTCTTCTGATACTTACGGCGCTCGACTGCCTAAGCACGAAGTTGAAACGGGCTGTTTTCAGGTTCCGTTTCACAGGGTCTTAGAGGAGGCAGCGAGCGAGATGGAGACCTCGCTGGCCGGCGGCGGCGGTGGCGGCGGGGATTGCCGCTGCCGCCGGTGCCCTTGGTCTTAACCCCTTGACCCCCGCAAGGCTTCTTCCCTCCCAGCCACAGAATAAGCGAAGAGGAATGGGCTGCAAGGAGAGCAAACCGGGCTGCTGTGAAGCCAGAAGGAAGGTAAAACCAAAAATAAAAGCGCACGGGTCAGAGGCGGGAAAAGTTACAAGGGGCTGCCGGGGGTGGGCTGGCACCCTGCTAGTTTCTCTTGACAGCCCTGGTAGAGGTTCCAGCCCCGGAGAAGAACTGGGGCTTGTAGAATTCCTGCCCCCCCCCCCGCACCCCGATTTCTTGCAAAGTCACACACACACACACACATACACTCTTACATACACTCTTACACACACTTTCTAGTGCCAAGAACTCCAATCAGTTCGCGAATCGGAGGCGGGAGCCGTCCGGGAAGGGGGAAAGGAAACCGCTATTTAGCAACAAAGCCCAGAAGTTTGCGACCGCAGCAGCGACAAGTGTGTGTGTGTGTGTGCGCGCGCGCGCGTGAACTAATGCAGCGGCTATTCAAGCTTTCTCTTCGCCGCCGCCGCCCCAAAAACCAGGCAGATACCCCGAACTGTGGCAGACCGACGTCCCGCAGGAACGCTGGGGAGTCGAACCGGACCTTTTGCCCCTAGCAAACAAAGGGAGCCCTCCGAGGGAGGGGGAGATAGCAACAGCCGAGGGCGAAGTCAACTTTTAGAAGAGGGCGGTTGATCCGAGACACATTACAGTCTAAGGGATGGTTGCTTCTCGCTTGTGGGGCTCGGGGTGGGAATCCAGGGTGCAGCCCCCGTTACTCCCAAGGGAAATCTGTGGTCCCGCGTAGGGGTCCGTTGCTCGTGATCGCACATCCCCTCCCAGATAAACCTCCCACTAAGTCGCCTTTCATTCAGTAAAGGGTGGTAAGGGGAAGGGAAACAAACGGTTTAGAAGCACCTTGGCTAACATTCACACCAAGGGGCTCTTCTGTAAACCAGGATTTACAAATCACAGCAGCTGACTTCAGTGCTTAAGCTAGAACCGGCAAACTTCACAATGGGGTAAAAACGTAGGCTTCCTTGGCTTCGCCTTTTGCCGTTGTGATGAGTGAACCAGGATTTTAACGAGCGGGATAAACAGCGTGGAGGTTTATGCCCCACTGAGAAACTTATCCGAGATTTTCCAAATAGACTGTTAACGTAATGCAAGGAGGCAGTGCACCATATACTGAATTTAGTATCCAGAAGCAAGGGATTTAGTCTAATTTGCATTTGATGGGTGTCTAGGAAAAGAAGCAATATCAGGATGTAATTTTCAATTGGAAAAATAAAAATAAAATCTATCTCAAATTGTATGAAAGGCAGTGCAAATTCCACTAACATTCTCCTTTGTTTTAAACAAGAAAGTTTCTACCAGGTTATTATCTTGCATTTAAAATGATGCTTCCAACCACATATCCAGACAAATAGCAGTGCCTGTAATTCCATCATGCTTATTTTGGGGTCAGGATGTATTTGTTTAGTTTCAAGATGCTAGCAAGAGCAGCTTGATGGAGTGGCAAGGTACTAACTTTTTATAGAAGTAGTTATTTTGAATTAAATTTTTATGAGGCAACAGGGCAACGTTGTATACAATCTATATAAAAAGTTTTGAACAAAGTTAGATTTAAAAAGTCTGTGCAGCTTTTTCTTTTATTAATAAAATTCTTTAGCAAAATACAGCATTTATGGGACATACTACAGGGCTAGTTAAAATGAACTATACTGAGAATGATGCATTTTGAGCATTGAATGATCCATACATGCTAAACTCAAGTGTGAACCATTTGTGTAAGTGGTTAAGGCTTCAGTCTAGAAACTGGGAGGCGGTGAGTTCTAGTTCCGCCTAAGCCACAAAGCCAGTTTTAATGACTTCAGACTAGTTCACTCTCTCTCAGCCCTAGGAAGGAGACAGTGGAAAACCTCTTCTGAAAACATTGCAGGACTTGTCCAGGCAGTCTTTAAAACTCAGACATAATTAAATGGGAGAAAAAAATGTGATATACCATCTAACCTTCTGATTCTAAACAGCATGAGACCAATGCAGAGGTGGTATTCAGCAGGTTCTGACCAGTTCTGGAGAACCTGTAGCAGAAATTTTGAGTAGTTTGGAAAACCAGCAAATACCACCTCTGACTGGCCCCACCACCATCTATTCTCTGCCTCCCGAGTCCCAGCTAATTGGCTGGGTCTTCTTTTGTTGCCCTGCATAGGAGAATGGAGCTGGAAAGCAGGTTAGTGGCATGGGGAGAGAATGGGATTTTGCAGTAACCTTCCCTTGCCATGCCCATCAAGCCATGCCACGCCCACCAAGCCATGACCACAGAACCGGTAGTAAAAAAATTTGAATCCCACCACTGGACCCATGAAATAAAAAAAATGCATATAATCATGAAACTCTATCCATCAAACCAATAAATAGTTACCAAACATCCATCTTTCCTTTCCAGTAAATCCTTCACCCCTGGACTGATTCTTCGCTACAGGTAGTCCTCAACTTACAACAGTTCATTTAGTGACTGTTTGAAGTTACACTGAAAAAAAGTGACTTATGACTTTTTTCCACACAACCATTGTAGCATCCCCAGAGACACATGATCAAATTTCGGGTGCTTGGCAACTGGCAGGTATTTATGATGGTTGCAGTGCCCAGAGATCATGGGATCACCTTTTGCGACCTTCTGACAAGCAAAGCCGATGGAGAAGCCAGATTCACTTAACAACCGGGTTACTAAGTAAATCAACTGCAGTGATTCACTTAACAATGATGGCAAGAAAAGTCACAAAATGGGGCAAAGCTCACTTAGCAAATGTTTCACTTAGCAACAGAAATATTAGGCTTCGTTGTGATCATAAGACAACCTGTACTTCTTTCAAATGGGCCATTGGCTCTGACCCACTCACTACCCTTAAGTATAAATGTGTTCAGAAATAAGGACAGGAGAAAGAGGGAGGGAGGGAGGTTAAGTCAGGGGTGTCAAACTGGCGGCCTGCAGGTCAGATGCACCACGCACAGGCCATGCCCACCCCAGCTCCGTGAATGGGGGAAATGTTGCAAAACGTCACTTGACGGCAGTGTGATGCAGTGAGTTTGACTCCCATGAGTTAAGTCACCAGACTAAAAATCCAGAGATTGTGAGTTCTAGTCTTACCTTAGGCATAATGCCAAGTGGGTAACTATGGGCCAGTTACTCTCCCTCAGCTCTAGGAAAATAACAGTGGCAAATCACGTCTGAAATCTTGCCAAGAAAACGGCGGGAACTATTTCAGCCAGTTGCCAGGAACCAACACTGACTCAAAAGGCATAATAAAACAAACAAACAAAAAGCTGGTGAGACTTCCTGTTCTGTACCTTACTTGCACAGTGAAGATGAAAGAGTTTTGCAAGATGCAACTCTTTATTTCTAAAATGAAGTGCCACATTCCTGATCATCCAACTGCACACACCAATCTATCATAATTATTGATAGGCGAAACTAAATACTTTGCCCACGTGCAGAAATATGATTGATTGATCAATTGTTGGTTGATTCATACGGTGAACACACAATCCCTACTTGAGGCCGTGTTTCACCTGACTGAACTTGTGCCTTGCGAAAATGATGGTGCAAACCTTGGCGAAAAGTCACTGTAGCAGTAAATATTCAAAAAAAAAATCATATTCTGCTCAGAAACCCCAATGTTTGCCCTTTTACCTGCTTTTCTCATTTCTCAGAGAAAAAAGAAATCTAAAAAGACAGGCCTGTTGTTCTCTGTGTTTGGAATCCATGCTTTGAATTACTAAGGGACATCTCTGAATGCCTTTTTCCATCTTTTCTTTGGCAATGTACACCTGTAAAAAAAATCTGCTTCTCAATAAATATGCTTAACTCAGTTGCATAATACATTAATCTTCTGCATGCAGTGAAAACTGTTCTGTACCAGCTCAGAAGAGCTCTGAGAGAAATTTACATCCAGATTACTCTTATATTTTAAAACCATCATGTCAAAGGTCCAGAATTTGAGGATTCCCTTAAAAGAACAGGAACTGGAAAATACCATGAGCTCAGATTATTGATATTGATGGACTACACTTACTTCTACATATGACAAATAGAGTGAGAATTTCTCATAAATCCCTTACAAAATACGTCATACCTTATCAAGTATATCCTTTGCCCCCAAATTATTAAGATTGGAAACAAAATGTATTTTATTTTTTGGTCTGGTGAAAGGGAAAAACAGTGGTAAATAAGTGTTTGGGGATTTTGTCATTTAATCATTAATATCCTGCAGCCCATAAAAATTAATGGATATATAGTCTATCCCTATTATATTCCATGTAAGATTACAATCAACCAATGGAACAGCTTGCCTTCAGAAGTTGTGGGAGCTCCATCCCTGGAAGCTTTCAAAAGAGATTGGACTGCCATCTGTCAGAAATGGTGTAGGGTCTCCTGCTTGGGCAGGGGGGGGTTGGACTAGAACGTTTCCAACCTGGCACCACATTGGGAACCAACAACTACCATTGCATACCATTTAAGTTTAATGGTGCAGGAGTCTATAACTTTTATTATTCAACGATTTAATTTTAATGTATTTTGGATGAAGGACAGAGACGAAATCAATTATTCAAAAGTTTACATGAAGCTATTCACACAAATATATCTTTGTCATGCTCAGTACATTTTATTTAGTGATAGCTATTTTCTATCATGCATTGTCTACTTTGTCCTTGTATATATGATCTTTATTATCAGTTAGACTTTTTTAAAAAAAGTATCTTTTTTTAAAAGAGATTCAGGCAACATTTATGGAATTAACCATTTGTCCCCTTGCAACCAATTGCATCCACAGCAACTCACAATGTCAAAAGGATAGCATATACCCATTATATCACTGCACAAATAGTAAAATGATGTCCTGATGTCTGATAGAAGTCCATTAAATCATGTCCTTTGCATGATGATATCACAATATACTTTGCCCCTCACCACAGTTGTCCAGTAAAGAAGGCTTGTTCAAGTGGCAGACAGGGCACAGTTTTCCATCTCAATCATGGCACAACTAAATAAGCCAGGATTGTTTTGTTTTATACAGCATCTTGAGTCATAATAATTTGTTTATTTG